GGAAAGAGAGTTGGTTCTCTGCTGTTCCGCTTTGGCTATGTTTATGTCTGAAGTGTTCTCCCACTGCTTTGGAGTCACTGTCAAACTGGGAGAAGAAGTTCAATAACTTACTGAATGAAGACTTAGAACTGACAGAATTTTTTGTACATTTCCACTGTGTAGAAATTTTGAAGAAAATACAACAAACCCATTCTAGACATACACAATGATTTCAAATCATCTAAAATGTTCAAACTGTAAGAGGTCAAATGAATTGCCGTTCACCTTGGCAGCAGAGTGCTAGTGTTTTTGGACTGATGCGGGTTTTCGATGGAATGGCTGGTCATTAAGGCGCAGGAGTTGTCTATGCACTGAGCCTCAAATTTCTCCTTCAGATCCTGCTCTAAATGGTACTTAGCAGATCGGTTCAGTCTGGAACACAAAACAATATGTTTTGACTTTGATTTACCAGCAACTCTAGCCAGTAATTTGATTTTCCTGCCAGGTTTCAAGATAATAAACACTAGAAGAGCCCCTTTATAGTCTAACAATAATACCTAATTATTTTATTACTAATTATCATAATACTTAATACCACTTTTTTTTTTTTTTTTACCGTATCTGCTCAGTGATCTGGTCTACAACACGCTGCAGGAGAGAAGCCACCCCCTCAATAACCTCCTTCTCCTTCAGCAGCTCTCTGTCCACCACATCATGTAGCCTGTCAGAAGGGACACACTTCATTCTGTTGGCCATAAAACAAACAGAAAGTGTTATTCATCTGCTCAATCTCACTGCTGCTGCACTTGTCTCTTAAACATTGTTCCTTAACCCTTACTTCTCATTTCATTTTCGATTAGAACTTTAACTTAAACACAAACGTATACCTGAAATTGCGTTGTGGTTCCAAGTCTGCCTGTGTACAACAGTGCTTTCACAGACTTCATTTGTCTCATTGTTGCATCCTAGGCTTCAGCCATAGAATGTACATGATGACTATTATACAGAGTTTACATACAGTCTATAGCTGAATCCCTTACTGCAGCACATTTTTCCACATATAGTAATAATGATGACTCTGTTCCACTTCAGTGCACCAGCAAGCCATGCATTTAGTCACACCTGCGTTTGACAAGGCTAAATATCTGCAATAAAAAAAGATCCATCGGAACAGGATATGATGATGGATGTGACACACTCTACATAAACACTTTCAACTTATTGATGGAGAGTGGGGCAGGAATTTCTCAGTTAAAAGAGCTCTACTTTTTTATTTATACACGAGTCTGTGCAGATTGTCAGTCATCCAGGTCATCCATTTATACATGAGCTTTATAGTAAGTAAGCTTCATAGTAAGAGACTGAGTTATTCAAAACTAAAGATATATGCTAAACCTATAAGAGAGAAGAAATGGGGAGTTTTTGAAGCAGCAAAGTATTGTATAATGCATTTCTCCTCTGACTGTTTATGACACTCATTTGGCCATCATTTTTCAGCCTCACCTCTCCTCCAGGCAGAGGACAGTGGCTCTAAGAGCCTCTTTGCAGGTCTCCAGTGCCTTCACCACTCTGCTCTGCAATGTCGTGAGGGCATCTAGCTCCAAAATTATCTCCTCCAACTTCAGCTCCAACTCCTTTTTCAGGAACTGGATGTTTCTGTTCCGCTGATCTGAAAAGCAGTAGAAATACCATTATAGTATACAGCAACTATCCTTCAATGCTACATAATGTGAATGCAAATTTGCTGATTTTCTATTTTGCCCCCCACTCCCATGGTTTACCTAGTTGCTTGATGGTATCATCATTCATGCGCTTGCATGCTTTGCCAGTTTCCTGGATCAGCCTCATGCATTCTCCTCTGAACAGCTCAGCTTGGTTCCTTATAATCTCGGTATTCAACAGATTAGGTCCACCAGTCTGCTGGGGACTGTGGTTCTGGACAGACATTGTTCTCGGCCGGAGGTCAGTCACTGTGTGTATAGACAGGCAAGAAAAGCATTACAAATATTTAAAAATATATTTTACTCCTGTGAAAACATAACTAACGTTGTTAGCATTTACGTCCAAAAGTTATCGAACTAACTTACCGGTTTGAAACTGGCATTATTTGTTGATCCTCACTAGCAATTTAACGTTAGCCAAAAAACATTAAAGTCTTTAAAAAGTGTTGCCTTTCACCATACCTTGCTCGGTGTTGTTGAAAACCCACCAAACGAATTGTTTTAACGCCAATGTCTCTGTCAGGGGAGCCGTCCAGACGCGGAGTTCAGATGTAACGACTGGATGCTAACGCTAGGCAACAAAACAAACGGTTACTATAGCAACGGCAAATATGGCGGTAGGGCGGCCGCGGTCAGTGTTTCTAGAGCTGCCGTGATTCAACGTCCTCATGTGACTCATATTACTAATAAAACTAATATGAGTCACTCATATTACTAATATGCGTCACACATAATATTATTAGCTAAGTTACTAGACACCTTTGATTCAGGTTGAGCAGGATGGAAAAGATCCAAAGTTATCACTGGACACCAAACAGCTGCCAGCAGTTCTTCTCCCAGTGACTTATTGAGAAGAGATCGGGCAGGCTACAAGTTTAATACAAATAATACCTAAAACAATGAACCACACAAAGTATGAGGTCAGACTTATTTAATATTTGCATTTAGTATAAAGCTATACAATTGTTGGTATTCTGTTATAGTACATTGCATTTCACTACTATTTGAAAAAATAAGTCACTCTTTAAACTAAAATAAACAAATAACTATGAGCTAAGCTGGCAAATATAGTTGATACCAATAAGCCGATACAACAATATTTAGTAGCCAAGCATTTAGAACTGCAATATTTAAAATTAAAAACATGAAAACCATGCCATGTTATGATAAATAATCTAAATAATCTAAATAATATTACTGATGCACACTGTATCAAAACCATGCAGCATAGTACAGTACATTTAAAGCAACAATCATCTCAAAGGCACTTGCTGAATCAAAAACAAGATATTAATATATTCTCTCAACACACATGGACCACCTATAAATATTTATGCATCAACAATAAACAGTGCAAACACTTCAGTGTCAGACCATAATCAGTATTAAAAAGGGAACAATTAATACTTTTAAAACTGCAAGATGCAGGAGGTTTAATGAGCCAGAAAGCTTTACTGTAAATAAAGGTTTGAGTCTTGAAAAAAAAAAGTGCTCTGGTGGCACTTAGTGGAAACATTTTGTCAGTTTTTCCCTGTCACCCGTCTGTATGTTCAAGTCCTCCAGGAACAATTGACATTATTTAAAATACTGTGAGGAGAAAAAACAGCTAATTCTTCTCTTATCTTCCTACTAATTCCCAACACCAAGGTTCGATATTCTGTGATCCTGTGAACATTTTAAATAATATGTTAAAAAGTATTTACATTATATTAATCATAAACAGATCCAGCTTACAGATCCAGCCACAGTCAATACTGCACAATGTTTCTAAAGATACAAGAATGGAAGGGAAAAAGATTTCAGTCAGATCGTTTTCTATTTCGAAGCGAATAATTTACCTCAATAAGCCTCTATTTCTCTTCATTTCTACCTTAAAGGGTTTAATCAGTCATTGTCTAGCACTTACCCCTATGTCAGCCAAATTTCTGAATTCCAAGGGACCAACAAACAAATTCATTTTAAAGGGTCATGTCAGACTGAAATGAACGTAAAAAATATCACTACATGTAAATTATTAATGAAGGCATTTCCTGTGTAAGTTCCTGCTTCATGGCCAAACAAATTAGCTGTGTATCATCACAGGATTTCCATTTCTTTATGTTGGTAAAGAGTGAACATTTGCTTTGTCTCTACATCGTACCACATCTACAACTCCGGACAGATCAGTTCCAGAGGTCTTCACCTGCCACAGTTTTGTCAAGTCTGTTGATCTTTTCCGGCAACAAGCCTTCCTCAATGGCTACCTTGGACTCATGGACCTAAAATAAAAAGCGGCACATCACTCTGGTGCTTACTTAACCAGGAACTCCACTTAAATCAGTTTCAGAATGTCATTGAGAATAAAAAGAAAAATATATGTCCATTAGTGGATTAATCTGGGTACACAACATGCGCTCTGAATGTATTACTCACCTTGAATGGTTCACTGATTCCAATGATGCACTGCAGAGTACTGCTATAGTAGCAGAGCACACACTCTCCTCCTTGCACAGGGATTTCCTCTTTATTAACATACGCCTACAAAAACAGAGGTACATTTATATAGTTGCGTTTTTTCTAGTAGTTTTACTCATCAATACACAAGCATGTGTACCTGTATGACTTCTTCATTGAAGGCCACTTTACTGTCTGTGACCCACGTGTAAGTGATGTAATCCCACACACTGGTGAATCCAACCTAAATTTCATACACAAATTCAAGACTATCATACTGAAATATCATATTTAAAGTGCCAGCAATAATCTGCTGTTGTTCATCCAACCTTGTAGAGTCCAATCCAGTCCCATGTACTTGAGGGAAACGGCTGCAGGGGACTATAGAGAACCATGGCATCAATATCTGCACTCCAGTCGCCCTCTGCCTGCAGGTGCACCAGAGGAGTCTCATACATCTTCCTTAGCTGAGTAAACAGAGGAATAGACTTTAAATTAACCTGGGATTTGAAGCTTAATAATCATAGAAATGAATCTGTAAATAGCATATCTTTTGCATATATTTAAAGGATACTCAGTTTTGTAGGTTTGGACACAGTTTCTATAAGTCATGAAAACTTACTAAGTGAGGAATCTGTGAACAGGGCATCATGGATGGGTTAAAAAAAAAAATAGCAGGGAAAAGAAACAGGAGCAGTCAGACTATGAGATCAGTTTCACACAAACCCCCAGGTCAGCCAAACTTATATGGAAGATAAAATCAAGTAAACCGTAAAATTATTACCCAAAGTGTGCACTGTAACATACATCACACTTTGACAGACTTTCTAGTTTACTCCAACAATTTTCTAGTGTAATGAGAGATTATTCCCAACATTTTATAGCCGGTTGCAGTCACTTTCAGTTTGACCTCCAAATTAAGTGGTTTTAAACAACCTGTGTGATCATCTGACTACCTGTTTTCATGTGCCATCAAAATGTTGTTTGGGAGTTTAAAAATTCTGTTAATATATTAGCAGATAGTTTTCTTTTTAACCACAAACAATTTTGATACAGATTCCTTTGATTGTGACCAAGAAATATGATAGATCAGGCTACACACACACACACACACACACACACACTACTTTTAGTAGAATGACTTCAATTATTGGTTTAGGTCTTTTCATGGCGTCGTAGGAAGTATTTATCCACTATACAAGAAGGTATGTGAATCAAACAACTACATCACTGTCTGAATAGAAAGATTAAGGTTTGTTTGTTTGCAGATTTCTTGAAAGCACAGTCAGTGTTCCACTTTCTCACCTCCAGTGTGAAGATGCTGATGACAGGCTTGTGGTCACTGATCCTGTACTCCATGTTGCTGGTGTACAAGTCCTGCTTGATCTTCAGAGGGTACTCCTCATCCTCTTCAAGCTGCTTGACCTTCCTTGCATATGCAGGATCTGCATGTTGCTCATCAGGAGCTGAATCTTTGGGTCTGAGGCGCCACAAAATCCTGTCCGTCCAAGCAGGTTTACGTTTCTTTCCGCTAAACAGGTGGTTACAGACGATGAACGGACAGAAAGCAGAGCAGAAGGGACTTTAGAAAGAGACAAAGTGAACTCTTTCAGCTTTGTCATGTGGTACATAACTGTGCAACAACAAAACCAGAAAAAAGTAAAATTATATAATGTTGAGACAATAACTTTTCCACATGAAGCATTACTGACACTACTTATAGGAATTTTGACTCAAAACCACTCTTCATTGACAAGCTTTTCTTGTTGTCTCTTTTAATATAGTTGATGCAAGGGCAGTCTGAAAAGCTTTAAAACCCACAGAGGATAGATATTTATGTAATGTTTTGATCAAAAATGGTAGTTTACTTTTTGTGATGGTGAGCTTCACTTGCATCTGTACAGGTTCAGTTTGTTTGTGTAAATATTAAAGTATTATATTCCATTGTACAAGCTGCTCTTTTATGCCATGCAGTGTTATGATAGGATGCAAATTTTTATGTCTATTTTTAGGTGTCACTGTGTCTCTAGTTTCTATGCAGTTCAGACAGAGACCAGTTAAGAGCACAGCTGAAAATTCAGAAATGAGATTTTGATATGAGGATATGTCTGAAATAACATGTCTCAAAACGTCTTCACTAGTATTTCTTAAGACATCCTAGGACACTGTACCTGGTCATGTTACAGGATATGAGTGTAACGCTCAAAGTGACATTATTTAAATAAATAAATAAACCTTTACAAGCCATATTTGAGTAATAATTCAAATACACTGGAGGTAAATAGTTTGCCAGCAGCTTTCATCATAAGCAGTACCATGTTTGAATTATATCCAGTTAGAAACCAACCAACACATTGATTTATCCATGATCATAGCATTTGTATTACAAAAACATCTATTTATGGCCATGCATATTATGTAGCAGCTGTTCTGGCTTTTATAAACAAGCTCTGAAAGCAGAAGGATGGTGTTACATGCTTTATGTTAAATGGGGGTTAATTTGGGCACTGATACTTTTATATTTAATGACACCCTGTGGAGTTTATTGTAAACAAACAGATTTGTTCACATTTTGTGTTTCTCACAAAGTGTATCCCTTGAGGCCTAATAAATGTGTTCAATGTTTTCACTATCTTATTTGAACAGGAGATTTAAACATCTGTATTCTTTACAGTATCTGAAGTACTCTATTTCCTGCCTTTTGCTGGCACACTACCACCACCAACTGTCTGAAATAGTTGGTGGGAATGTGCTCGATGAAGTGCATGCAATACAAACAAAATGGATCCACTCATAAAAACATTGCTCCATAGTGCCACTAGTGGTCAAAAACTCCGCAGGGTACCTTTAACTGTCTCCCGACACAACAGGCCTATTAGCTCAGACAATACTCCGTAAAATAAACAAGCATTTCAGTCCTTCCTTTGCAGAGACATCCTGATATTTGTCTCATAAGACTGTTAGTTCTAACTGCTTGTTTGTTTAATTTACAGAGGGTTACAAATGAACATAATCTTTGTGAAGCCTTTAAAAACACAATTAAGACAAAGTTCATGCATAAGAAAAGAGATTACTACTTTTATTGGGTTGTTAAAAATAGAGTAGAAGCAAAAATACTGAAATGTGGTTAGGTCAATTAAAAAAGTGGATATTAAAGGAGATGTGGACACAAATGTGGTATGCACTCTTACTTAAAGCCAAACCATGCCCTGTTGAGCCTGTGAAATTGAAAAAAGGCACAGATAAAATATATATAAACTAATATTTAAGAGGAAAGTGCTGAAGGTAAGGATCTTTAAAAAGTATAGGGTAATTATGATTCATTAGGACTGATGATACCTGCTGTCGTAATTATCAGAGTTTAGGTCAAACTTGAATGTTGGTTGAAAATCCAGCGGCCCTTCCTCAAACTCCTGAAGCATCTGTTCTTTCTTCTTCATCATCATCAACTGTGAATAACAGATATTTCATGACTTCCCCAACTCAAACACAGTAATAAGCTGTAATATTTTGGTTACTCATGACCTACCAGTTTGCCTGTTGTGCTGAGACCCTTTTCTGTCATATGAGCTAGACTTAATTATCCTGTAAAAAGCTGGATGATTATTCAAGTGTCAAACCTGGTCTTTGCTCCACAGCAGGTGGTAGGTTTGACTGTCGATACAGGTGCGAACAAAGTGCATACCGTGGTCCTGAATTCGGAAGTTGAGATCTCCAAACCAGAAAACCAGTCTGGAGATGGCGCAGATACAATGAGATGATAATGGTTTGAAATCTCCTTTACAATCAGTCAAATTCTTTTGACATCTGTCTGGGAAAACTGTAGTCTGTCTCTCAACTCACCTGTGGTCAAGAATTCTCGGTGCCTTTGCACATTCAAAGGTCTGTGTGTCCATGATGTACTCAAACTCATCCACTCTCTCAGTCGCATAGTTCATATGAGCAGCCAAGTGGCAGTTAAGGAAACACAGCATATGGCCATAGAAAGACAAACGGATGGACACGCCACCTTTGTTCCCCTATGAGACAAATAGAAAGAGATAAGAAACAGGAGGAACCACAAACCTCTGTAAACCACTCTGAATTTTTCATTCAGTATTTACAACAGAAAAAAAGACCAAAAAAAAAAAATCAACAAATGCACAAAGACCAGCTATTTCTGACATTTTGTGGAAAATACGAGACCAGACACTCACTTCTGCTTCTGTGGCTTGGTTCACAAATGCTGGATGCATTTTTGACATATTTTAAACACACGTTTTATTCCATTCCTAAATTAAGTGGGGAAGTGTGCCAATTTTACACTTCACAGTTCATTTACAGGTATTGCAGAGTACTACTGTATATGTGAATAAAGTTGTATAAAGATATCTGTGGTCTCAGATGGAGATCAAGTGATCCCCCAAGTGCACTGAGTCAGTGTCAATCACTTCTGTAGCCCAGTCCTCATCTCTGCTTGAGGCTAAATTAGCACTACTAACATAATGAGCCTGCCGACTGCAGGGAGACAGCTAAATATATTTGACTGCTCCCTCCCCCAAATGCGCACATGGCAATGACGTTTTGAATTTTTGCATATATTGTAGCCTATCTGTTTGGTTCATGGGCTCTCAAGGGCGGGGCTGCAAATTAGCTTTTAGCTAGACGCCCTAATGCACTGTATCGCTTGACTGAGTGTTACAATGTTTAGGTGCATGTGCCCCTGAAGAAATAAACCAATAAAATAAATATATCTATCTATACTGAAGAACTCTAATTTTGAAATGGGGTAAAACATCAGCAGAAAGCTCCCACACCTCACCCAGGATTATAAAATAGCCACTTTGTATTTTACTTTTCTGACTGTACTGATTGAAATCAAAATCCCACATCGGTTTTCTTGGTGATTCATCTGTTCAAGAAAAACCAAAAACTAATTTCTCTTGCTGTGATCAGAAAAGGGTATTTGGGCAAAGCTACAAGTGAAAAAACTAACAAAATATATATTTTGTTTTTTCAATACAAGCAGAAAAAGAATTGTCATTTTCTCACTTTGGCAGTAAAATGAAAAAATGACCCGACATCCTCCTAGTGGTGAAATCAAACTACACATGGACCGTTCTCCTGCATCAGTTTGACCGTTTGTTTCAACTGTCCATGAGTCCAACAGTGCTACACTGATCATGTACGCCCATAATGTCTGTGTGCACTTCTCACCCAGTAACCGAAAACGCCTGTGCGTGTGTATGTGGTCTGGATGTCTCTGATGAATGGGATGTGCTCCAGTTTGGAGAAGAAGAGCAGCAGCAGACCCTGCATTCTGATGGATGACACCTGAAACATCAACAGTATAAACAGCACAACTTTTTACTGGAGACGTTTTACTGTAAATCTATGAGCTGTTAATATTTCACACTTAGATTTTAGCCATCAAACAGTCTCATTTCTCATTTATTCAACAGCAAATAATGAAACTTGAAAGATCAAGTCTCTTCTTTTCTGCGTGTAAAAATGCTTGATGTTTGTGCAGCTGTAAGAAGGTGTTATTAGACAGTATGTACCTTAACATATTTCCTTGACGCTAAGGTAGACATAAACAGAAGACTCCATCGATCTTCGAATACAATGTCTGAGACAAACCTCAGTGGCCCCGAGTACACCTCCTGCAGACTAACACACACACACACACAGTTTTACTCTCAGTCATTCCAGATATATAAAATCACTGATTCAAACAATCACTTCATCTTCCAAGCACAACCGACCCAATGACATAGAGGTCTGGGCTCTTTGGAGAGTTCAGATGGAGAAGAGAGGTCACGTCATCTGGAGGATCAGCTGTGGCCACATTCCATGTCACCATGTGCAGCCTGTGGGTGTGGAAGGTGGAAAAACATAGTACAGCACATAAATGGAAAATCTTCAGCACTGAGCACTGAGCACATGACAATGTGACAAAACACCTTTAAAATATACAGTGGTTCAGCTGAGTTTTGCATCATTCATTGCGGCAAAACCTGGAGACGAGCAGGTCATCTGAGTGTCACAGCTACAATATCAGCACTGTTCTGCTACTGTAAGCAAGTCAGGCTGCTACATGAGACCAAATATCTTTTCATCCAAACTCAACATCCATAATATTGAATTTTTTTGGCTCAGCTATTATGATTCAACAGATAATGATCTACTGAAGGGTTTAATATGGCAACAATCAAGAGCATCTTTGTTGGCCAGTTATAAAACAGTTCACTGAACCCACAGTAGAAAAATCCATGAAAGAACAGTGAAATAAAAAAAATGGAGACAACAGCATTCCTGTACAAAATCCAAACTATCTCCAGCTTCAACTTAAAGAAAAGATGAGCAAAGAGGTGACACTTGTTCTCCACCTGAAACTGTCTTTCCTCAGCCTGTTGGCTCTCTTGCCACAGATAAGGAAGGCATTATCCAGGGTCTTAACCACTTTCTCGTGCAACTCATTTCTGGGCTCCAAATCATCCACGCAGGTCATCAGCTGGTTGAGTCGATGCCGCAAAACCAGTTTGGTGCCCGATGACTGTGTGGCATTGCTGGAGAGGCTGTCAGAGCGGATGCGACTGACAGCCCCAAACAGCTGACTGATTTCATCCATTCTTGCTCAAAGTGTGAAGTGCAGCAAGGTCAGCTGTATCGCCGAGAGTCTGAGTTGTTGAAGTTTTAAAATACAAAAGCATAAAGTATTTTCTAAAGGAGCATTAATTGTAGGCAGTGTACCACAAAGGAAAAAAAAATCCAGATTTGATGATTTTAAGTATGTTTGGGTTGGCAAAGTTAATCAAATGAGCAACAGTGCAAAGTTTTGGTTGCCTCTGTAGAATGAAAGCAATAAATGAAAAAAGGAAAATCCTGGCTCAAGGATTTGGGTGCTCCAGAGTTGCACTGCTTGATTAAGAAATTTGTTAATCTGTCTACAAGTCTCCTTTGTCTACTAAAAACCACATCTAATCTTACTGTAAAATGTTAGGCCTGTTAACAAATGAGGAAACCAACTTACATAACAACGCTTTTCTTTTGCAAGCTACTGAACATCCAGCTGTTCTTTCTTCAGGCAGGATGGCAGCACATGATTTCTTCCTTCAAATCCGCTTTGCGTACGCATTATTGGATAACCTAATCCACCTGCCAGGGTGCAGTTAGATTTGTAACTTGGCAAACATTGCACAGTATTAAGTGCTGGAGCACATCCAACCCTAAATGAGACATCCAGAAAGCCCTGGAGTTCTGGTACCAGCAGCACAAACAGTTAGTAAACAACTTCTCATCCCAAAACCTTAATTCAATGAAATAATTATTTGCAGCTGTAAACTAAAATGTCACATACAAATGTGAGAATGCAGGAGAAAATAAGAGCTATGTCAACATTGACACAGGGCCTTAATTATACTCATTAAACACATTAATACTGTGTGCCAGCAAAATTTTATATCCAAACTCTGGGACAACATATTTGAAATGAGTGTACTGTCATGCAATATTACTGTAACATATAGCATAATAACACTGACATTTAATTCAGCACAGGTGAACCAAAAGCTATTAATAATAATCAGGCTTCTTGGGTTTTTAATGCACAATAACTGTTCAAATCACAGAGGTGTTGCCATCAGCTGTCACTATGCTTTGCTTAAGGACCAGAAGAGCCAGTCTTTATTGGCACAAGTACAAAGATAATGCTTCATCCCAGGAGATCACTATCCATCCCACATGTCATCACAGCCCCACATACTGACGCCCTAATCAACATACCATACCTCTCATTTGGGGGTCTTTTTAGTTCTAAAGAGTGTTTACTGGTTTCACAACAAAAACAATTCCCTGCATTATAAGGTAAAAAAGCAGTCAGTATGTCTCACCTCACCATCTCAAAACTTTGGTTTGAATCTCTAACCAAAAAAATAAAAACACAATCTACAAACAGGAATGCACAAAAGATCTTGAGAGTTTAATTAAACACTGTCCAGAAATTATTTACATAAAGACACTTCACGAATTTTTAGGCAAAGCCTAAAACTGTTTCTTCGCACACATAACATTTATGAGCTGTAAACACTGCGCAGTGCCTGTATATTGTACACAATGCTCATTATAAGTACTCACATTTCAGTAGGTGTACTTATTGTGCAGTAGCTGATGGGTTTTAAAGTATACAAGCTGTAGCCGGTAGGTGCATGACTTATGTGTTAACGGATTCGTATATTTACAGAGAAATGTTAACTCTTCATCAAAAGCGGATGCAACAATTATCACAGGGTAGAGTCCAACCTGAAACTGTCTCCCACGGAGTTTCCCTTCTGCAAAGTGAAGTCTGACTGCTTCTCATTTCTCTCCATCTTCTGCACACCTGGAAGGCACAGAGGCAAAACTGCTATGACTTGATCAGTAACAAAACTGTCAGCTAGTTAACATTGCTAAACGGCTCCAGCTTCTACTATGGGGACTGCACAGACTCAGCGCTGGTAAATTGAATCAAGCTAACTGCATATAGCTAACCTTACATCAAGCCCCGCTGTTGTGATAACGTAAACATTAGTTAACAGCTAACGCCTGCTACAGCTATAGCTAGGTAACTTATTTCATCAGACATGAAACACTCAAACCAACAAGCTGTATTAGTGAGGCTGGTTTACTGAATAGTACCTGCTAGTGATGGGTCAGGCAACACCGACGCGTCGAGCTCGTAGAGCAAAACCCCGTGTCGGTGCGCGTATCGCTTTAAGAAAGTCACGTTAAACGGAAATCAAATACCACATATGCGTTTTGTTTTCCGTGACATAATATCAAATCGAAAAAACGAAAACCGCCTCGTTTTCCGATTTTCGTTTTCCTGTTTCTAAATGGAGATCGAGAAACCGTTCGTTTTCCGATTTTGGTTTTCTCAATACAAAACGAAAATCCAATGGCCGCAATATACACGGACCCAGGATCCTATGAGATACTGGGACAACCAAAAGGCAATCTATCCAAACCTCTTCCGACTTGCCTTACAATTTCTCTGCACTCCAGCCTCATCTATGCCGTGTGAGTGGGTGTTTTCTACAGCTGGAGAAGTTGTATCAAAGAAGCAGCAGACTCAATTTCAAAACGTTGGAAAAACTTATTTTTTTGAATAAAATTTGTAAAAATAAAAAAAGCCCAGTCCACAAGCATCCTCATTCACAACACGTTCATTTAGATTTTCACGTTATGATACATGTTCACATTATTTATTGACTGTATCTAAAAATATCAAGGAAATTTTAAATTGAAATGAAGATATGAAATAATACAATATAAAATACAATGACTTAAATTATATTATTATAGGTCATCAAATCAGTGTCTGTTGAGTCTGTCAACTAGGTTGCCTGTAGGGATTTTTAAGGTCCAACAGGTGTCAGTATTCAGTGACACAGTATCGACACAGTTTGGCAATGTGTCGAAACGCTTCATGACGCCTCATCTACCTATCACTACTGTTTGCTCACTACTTGTTCTCGAAGAAATACAATATAAAATACACACAATGCAAGGAACATTTCCTTTAATGTACTAAACAATCACATGTCATTAAAATCCATGTTACTTTCTGGACTTGCAATGACATAACCTTGGCCAAACATTTGAACAGTTATCAAGAAAGAATTGCTTCATGTGCCATTTTGAAATCTGCTCAGAGTTTAGGGTTTTCTTACATATCATCCCTAATACTCAAAACCTCAACCCAAAGCTATAAATAAAAAACAGCATCTGGCATCTTTGTGTAAAGCTAAACTGACCATCAGATGGTCCAGTCAGACCAGAACTACCAGACTACTCTGGAAGTATAATAAATGTTCCTGATGGAGTCTTTTCAACATAAATACCTCATATGTTGTAGTTTCCACAGAAATCATCAGATATACAATACTTTCATTACAATACCTCCAGCCAACAATTCAATTTCCAGTGTGATAAAACAATAACAGATTAACACAGTGTACTTTGTTAGATTACCAACACTACTGTTACAAAAAAAAAAAAAAATTCTGGTAACTCTGGAACATTTGTGAATGTAGAGAAAAGGCTGGCGTAAACAAGTGCCTTGCTCTGGTACGTAAACAATAAATCAAAGAAAGAATTGGAAAATACAAGAAAAAGAACAAAACCCAAATGTCTGACAACAGAAAAGGGATAATCAGAAATGTTGTCTGAGAGAACCAGCAGCTTTTCTCTAGTCTTTTAAAATTTGAGGGCCAAACAGACATAAGTAAGAATGTTTCATCCTCAAAGCTGATTCCCTGACCTGCAAATCTGCCTCTTAAAGAAACAAACTAAACTAAAAGCCACTGTAGTTGTATTCAAATGTGTAGCATATAAATACAAACTATTGCTTTACAATAACGAGCTCTTATTAAGAGCAAATGTAATTAGGATGTAGGTGGAATTCTTGGTTATGCCTGTCCATCTGTTCTAGGTGTCCACAGTGAGTCTGGGCTGGCTGAAGGAAATTAAATCCTCTCAGAAAGGGATCTGAAAAGGAAAACAGCAAGTTTAAAAAAAATATAGACTGATCCCATTTAAAACTATACATGTAAATTTTTGCCAGAACAATAGATTACTCACTGGGTGAGCCAGTCCTTTGTCATTAGTTGTCATCAGCTGACATGCCTTTAACGTCATCGTTCTTCCTCATCTATAACATAGAGACATACAATACGTTACCACTGAGAAGTGTACAAAAGTAGCTGATTTGTTTTAGTCAGACAACCACTGTTGTTGAGGACAAAACAAATATTCAATGGAGGGTAAGAGTGTCCATTCTGGTCAGATAACACCTGCTATCTAGTAGCCAACACTGCGCAGATCGGCACGGCACTGCAGCACAAAACATGAATGTGATGCTACTTGCTACAGTTCCAAGTGATTCCATGTCACTATTTTACTGGAGAAAAACTGGCTGAAATTTATTCCAGCTGCCCTACATGTCAGCAGTGACAATGTTCAGGTTGTGCACCTCATTCATCAATTCCTTGGCCTAATAGCTAATAATATATGTTCTTAATAATTTATATATTGTATAGTATTACTTCATGTCAGTTAAAAGCGGCAGCATAGACACACTACATCAGCATACCAACTTGTGTTGTAACAAGAAACGTTTATTTATATCCGATACCTTGGTTTCAGGTAAGAATGCCTTATCAATATAATAAGAAAAAATTGAATATAATACAATATAAAAAAGAATTTAGTATGTATTACTAATAACAAATACATGTTCTAACATGAAATATATTTTGTTAAAAACAAGAATCTTTTCACATTATAACAATAAACTAAGCAAATAGTAATACTACTATTACTAGTGGGATATTTCTACTATAGGAACCTACAGCACTGAAACATGTAACACTTTGTGCACGCACAGACCTGTTATCCGTGACTGGTTACATGTCAGTGTCTTCACACCTCAGCTATTAACATTACAAGCACAGTGCGTAAGAGGTAAAATGAGGGCATCACTCATTGTTTAGAGCTAAACAGGAGTGTCACATTTCTGCTTGTTCAACAGCTGTTTGATAAAAGTCTCGTACAGTCTCAGTTACGCTGTGATTTTGTTTAAGAAGCACTGTGACTCACACGCTCTGTTCAGCTGTGTGTGCTAGTGTGTGAGAAGAGTACAGCACCACACTCGTTTAAACAGACAGGCACAGGGAGAAATACAGTGGAAAAGCAAAGCAGAATGGTCCGATTCAGCCCAGTAAATTTACAGCACGCACCGAGTGTACCACTTGTTAGGTTCCAACAGTGGAAGCACAAGTCCTGATGTGCTCATTTACCTCATCCAGCTCCTTCTTTGTCTCTTCCTCCATGCGTCGAATGTCATCCATGGATAGATCAACCCATTTGTCGATCCAGCAAAACAGCTCTCTGTGGAAGTGGGTGAATATACGCTTCTCCATCTGGACAGACAGAGCAGGTGTGTTAGAAAGACAGCAAAACAGAGGGAGGGGTGAGATTAGACAATGCTAGTCTTGTATTGCAACTCAAAGCAAGATGTATTTTCCTCTCTGAAGAAATTCATATATTAGCCATCAGAAGAAAGATATCAAAATCATTGTTCTCATATACATTATAACAAGACCAAACAAATGTATACCTTGTGAATGTAGTTTTCCATCTTGCTTTGTAGTCCCATCCACTTGAATTCAAGTGTGACTAGTTTATAGGCACACATGTGTGGACAGTTGGGGTTGTTGGCAAGCTCTTTCTGCACAGATGAGACAATAATATAAAAACACAAAGTCTCCAATACTCTAAAGTCAGTAATTTCATTTATTTAAGGGAGTAAGGCACAGTGAAGGGTGAGAGGAGGTGTAGTACCTTCCAGCCAGGTCCCAAAGGGCCTCTACCTGTTTTCTGTGACTTAAAGATGGCTGGATCTAGTTCTGGTTTGTAGTCCTAAAACATGTTTGCAAGAGGTACAACATTATAATATTGTAAGGGCTCCAAACATTGGAGATGTGACAAATATGAAGCAACTTAATATGAGGCAGGTTCATTATACTGACTGTTTAGTAGATAGATGTGCTAACTAAACATGAAGATTGTGACAAAACAATTCCACTTGGCTATCAGTTACCGATAGGAATTGTGCTTTTTTTTTTTCTAAAAACATGCACAATTTCTTCTCTTACCTTTTGACTTATGCAACTTCTGTCAGCAATGTCAATGTCAACAATCTCAGTTGCTTCCCATGACCTTTTGTCAATTCCATGTACCTGCAGCAAGGCAAAAAAAAAACACTAGTCTGTTGCATCAAATATGAATCTGTCATTGGTTCATAATGAAGAAGAAGAACTGTTAAAATCATACGCAGCATTTTAGTTATATGTGAATAACTGAATAACACTAATTTAATTGGACTGTTTTATGATGCTGCCTAGTTTTTTTTGCATTAGTTCTACAAGTTCTGTAAACAGTCATTTAATTACCTTTTCAATTACATTTGAAACTATACTGTACTTGTAATGTATTTGCTTAATGTATATAGTAGGTGGATAAAGTGTGGCCACAACCAGTTAGTGTCATTTCTAGAGGACATGACTTACATTGTCCTGATCCCCCATATCAGGCTTGTGCCATGTCTCAATCTTAATCATGAACTTGTCTTTCATGTAGGTGTTCTGCAAACATGGGAGAGATATACAGGATGGGGTCAGTCAACAATGGGCCTGTATTTAAAATAAGAAGTTAAAATCAAACATATGTAGAAAGTTTAATCTTTATTTGGAAACTCAAAATGACGGACTACTTACTGTAAGTACTGCATCAGATGAAAATGTGGGCAGTGATGGAAAGAGGATGGAACAGAAAAGGAGAGACAAGGTGTGAGACAGTACACAGCTCAACTCACAGCTGGTCTTTACTGGACAATAGCTCCAGAAGGCACTGAACGAGAATGAGCTTCTAATCTGTAAGTGGCGTCAATTTTTATTGTGTGTATGTTGTGGGACTCACTGGTACGGCAGTAAGGGTATGCGTTCCAGGCCTTCTCATGAACCTCCAGAGAACCTTTCGGAGCAAGAACACGGACAACACCTGGCACTTTACTGCAGAGACACAAACAGGCAAAAATGATCAATTCTCATAGCTGAATGTACTGATACACTTAAGCTTATTGAAATGTGGTACACATTTGGCACAATTTTATAACAAAACAGGATTTTTTTTTATTAGAGTTTATGTTTTTATGGTTTTCCTCGAGTATTTCCTGTCCTTTAAATGCTTTTCTACTATAATCATGAGTTTGCAGTCCAACATCTTGCAGATTGAATTCAGCGAAAGTGTGCAAGTACAGCAGGCCCCACATGTGCACATTCTTAGGTTTGAGTTCATGCTGAACTTTGGCATGCAACTTTCACCCACTGACTAACACAGTAGCATGCTGTCTTGACAGTGCTGTCTATTTTCCGTTCTTTTTTCCTGGGTGATAAAATGTTACCATTTGTGTGATACTGTAGAAGCACACACCAAGTTTAGTCAAGATATTAGTGGTGACAACCTTTAAAGGTAAAGTCAAATGCTATTTATTGTATGATTACAATATAAAATATATACATTTTATTTTGAAAAACTACATACTGCAATTTATACAAGCACATACTCTTGGTTATACTCTACAGATCATGTTGATACATTTACATTTGGGTTTCTTGCATCAAAATACACTTTGTCCCAAGTCTCTGTACCTGTCAACTTCAAAATGTTTGACCAAAAAAAATCACAGTTGGAGGTGATGCTTGGATTTTTTAACACATTTATTCTCTGTTGTAATTTATATTTTTTGAACCCCTAAAAGTGTAAAACTACTCATTATTTTCTGCGTATTCCTACTTCTCGCTATGTAATGAGATGTTCTGTATGCAGTATGTAGCTGTGTGCATGCAACAGCGCTGAGCTGCCTACCTCTGCAGGTGGTAGATCTTGTGGGTGTACTGCCCTTTCTCTCCATCCTTCTCATAGGGCTCATTGACCAACACCTCCACACCTTCTCCTCCTCCCGTCTCATTCTTACTAGCCTCTGCTACTGAATACAGCTGACCGACCTGGTACTAAAGGGACAAAAGAGGAGAGTATGAGTACTAGAGATAAGTGTATACATGAATAAATTCAGCCAGTCACCCCAGACTGTGTGTGTTGGTGCTTGAACTACTACTTATTTATATGGCGAATTAAAGGAAGGTTTTAAGGACAAGCTGATCAATTATGAGATTTTGGAAGGGATTACCAGCCACTGAGGTTTCCCTCTGTGGCTGACAGCAATGAGCAAACGCTTTTCATATCAGGAAAACACCAGGTGGAACTAATGAACTTAAGCTGTATTAATGACAAATCCTCAGTGTCTCTCAGGTCTATGGAGCATTTTAGCATCATTTGGCTATTACTGACAACCTGCTCTTTTTCAACTCCATTTTCAGTAAAAAGTTTAGATAAAACCATTGCACACTATCAGCCCACCACCAAATGAGAGCACATCACAGGGTTACGTTCTTCACGTTACGTGAAAAGACACAATAATCCACACAAGTGCTTATGTTGCTCTGTGTCTCCCGGATGTGTAAATGGGTAACAGTTTGTTAATATATTCTCCATATCAGTTTTACAAGGCAATAATATACTCAGTTTATTAGGTACAGCTGAAACAAAGTCAGTCTAACACAATGGTTGGGCAATTAACCCTCCATCATAAAGATAATGTTCAGTTTTTGCTTAAACTATTTGAGAAGTCTCTCTTTTGCTTGTGCAGCATATATGTAAATGAAATGGTAAATGGTCTTATACTTGTATAGCGCCTTTCTATGCTTTTACAGCACACTCAAAGCGCTTTCACATTATTCGGCCATTCACCCATTCGCACTCCCAAGCACTCACGCATTCACACGTTAGGAAACGACCCGCTCTACCTCCTGAGCCACAGTCGCCCCATGTATACAGAAATAGTTTGCCTAAAGGTCCTTTATTTTTATTGTTGGATCATAGTGTTTAGGTATTCCTGAAAACAATTCAATGGTGTGTTAGACTACTATATTGGCAAATTAAAAGAAAATACTACATTAATAGCAAGTAAAAAATAATAAATTAGGAAGACAGAGTGCAAAACCAAGTTCACAGATCCCTGAACCAGGAGAAACCCAGCAGATTATGCTTAGTCTTGACTTTCCACCCCCCTTCTTCCTCTAAAGTTCAAATCCTTCCTGAGTCAGGCAGAAGTGTTGGGGCACTGGAAATAGTGGCTCACATCACTAGTTGTGGCAGCCTGGCCAGTCTCACAGTCCCAATTAACAAACTTAAAACATTTTAACAAAATAAGTCCCAGGTCCTTATGGTATTTTACACAATGCTGAAACATCTGGTTGCTTTACATTCTGGTCTATTGAGACATCTGCTGATGAACGAATAGGTTATTTCTTCTGTATGACTATTAAGTCTGTCGACTTGTACGACAGTTCACGAGACATTAACATGTGCCGTCTCTCGCAGTTTAGCTGAACAACAACCTTTTGAGTTGAGGAATGTGACTTGCCGTGTATAACCAGTCCATCTACTCACTTTGAAGACAATTAGACATGATGCTTAGCAGCTCGTGACATTTGGCTGCAAAGAACAAACGGGCTGAACTTGAATGGGGATGGTCATTTAAACTGCACAAAGCGTGTTGGGGCAATAAGCTCAAAGTCTGTTGCATCAAATATGAATCTGTCATTGGTTCATAATGAAGAAGAAGAACTGTTAAAATCATACGCAGCATTTTAGTTATATGTGAATAACTGAATAACAAGTAACACTGTCTGAAGCATCACTGTCCACCAACCTTTCCACACAGAGCTGCAAATATTTTCTTTTCCAACTATGTAATTCCACTACATATTCTAAAAATAAACAATTCAGTTAATGAGCTGTATTCTGTTACATTACCTAAGGTGCACGAAGGAAGATGACTGAAAATATTTAACCCCTCTATGAATATATTCATACAACATTAAATTAATTAGGGCCACAACTATATTTTTATATCTATTAATAAGGGATTTATTTAAAGGAGCACTTCACAGTTTTTACACATCAAGGACATATTGGCTTCTGATTCTTTGATTTTGGTCACAGTTTTTTTTTTGGATACATTTCTTGTGAGTCTTCTAACTTCATGGATGCTCACTGGAATGTCATTTAATATATTAAGGATTTCATCTATAAAATATCATAAAGTAGTAAATATATAATTTACAGACTACACAGCCCACCTCTGTTATACAGACTGTATCCAGTTCAACGTCTTGTGACTGTTGCACTTAGTTACACAACTAACAAAGGAATCCAGAAAACATTTCAGGGATCAGACGTGGACACACAGCACAGTGCTTATGAGGCTTAGTGAAATTCTTGCTCCTGCTTTGTGTTAAGCAACAACAAAAAAAGAAAAACAAAAAGTACAGCATACACAGTAAGTGACATACATGCAGCTGTTGGGTAAAAAAAGAAAAAAAACACAAAGGGTTTCATAAACAAATGCAGTGAGACAGGCAATAAAAAAAGACTAACAATTCTCACATAAAGCAAAAATCTAATGAGGGGGGGAAGGTAACAAGGTGGACCTGCTCTCTCAATAACATGGTATCAGCCCGTAGTGTTGTAGATTACCAGCTAAATACATTCTAAGCCCGATATGACGTCACAGCTAATTATTCCAATTGCAAGGGCATCTAAAGGCAGCCTAAAGTGCGAGTCCTGATACTGTACCAAGTGGCAGCCACTTGTGTAAACTCCTATCTGCTCCGTTATGCCTTTCAAAAGGCAGTAAGATCATGGTGAGAGCTGAAATATGTGGATCCACAGTGTGGAGAACTGGTACTCAAAATGAGAAAATCTCCACATGGAAATGTGATTTAGAGGAAGTGATGCAAAGTTAGTTTATAAAATGCTGAGAAAAACATCTGAGCAGACAAATACGAACCTCTGTAGAAAGCTAATCCAACTAATAAACAGTCGTGACAAACATTTAATGGTAAATTGTTTGCCAAGACAACATGATGAAAATAGGGTGATAACTGTGTTTAATCTGCAGATATTCTAAGTGGTAATGAGAAAACCAAAACAGACTCTAAATTAATATTAGCTGTTTGGCTTTAACCATCTAGGCCTGCTGTCTTTGATAATGTAAAAGTACATAACTGATTCCTTACCTCCTCCACTGAAACAGGCAGGACGATTCGGCTATGAAAGACAACAAAAACAAACAAATGTATAATGACAAAGATATCCCAGTCAGATAAAAAACAGAAAATACAACAGTGACATTTGTACAGGTGACTTATAAGAAATGGATGAGGATATGTTATATGTTTTCTCTGTCTTCTCTTAACATAAATTAACGCATTAAAATAAATAAATAAAGTTACATGTCCAAAGAGTCTGGAATTAAAAGGCCACTGCTTTGCAGTTTGGAATTTATAGGAATAATTCAACATTTTGGCAGTGCATGAATAGTGGAAGACTCAAGCTAATAAGCAGCATGACAACCTATACCACACTGTCTGTACAGTAAATATGGAGCCAGGAGCCAGTTAGCTTAGCTTAGCACTAAGACTGGGGAAGTTCGCTCTGTTCAAAGTTAACAAAATCCACCTAGCAGCACTTCTAAAGCTGACATTATATCATGGTTTTTTCAACTTGTTTTAAAGCCTAAGAATTAAAAAAGGACAGGTCATGGTTTTACTGGGGGTTATGTGCTAGACCATTTCATGGCTAGCTATTTTGAACTGAGCCAGGCTAGCTGGTTCTCAGTTTTCTGTCTTTCCTTTAAGCTAAGCTAACAGGAGATACTATACAGACCTGGGAACAGTACTGATCTTATAATTTAACTCTCAGTAAGAAAGCAATAGCTGACTATTGTATATTTATTTCCTTTTACGTAGCTAATTGATTGTAGCTCCACTGCACTTTAATTTGAGAAGCTCGTAAGAGAAAGATTTTTTTTTTTTTAATGGTTAAAACTGAAGCGGTGTTGGCCAAGATTTGTGACTCAAGTACATTGGTCAAGCTGCAAAACCACATCCAACATTTCCCATAATGCAGTTCAATAGTCTTTAATAGAGGCCTATCTGCATTCTAAATACACATTTTCCAGTTTCAATTTGTGATGCAGGCTTTCTGTTCTAAGCTTAAAAACTCAAGTGCAATCCAAGATTACAGGATAATTTTTTTTCTAACTTTGGAAAGTTCCTCCAGAGCCACAGATGACATTACACAACTATTTTCACAGGTTACACCAGTACTCTAACTAATCAGAGCTGAGGACACACCTGCACTTGCACTGCTGTGAAGAGCCTATTTATTTAAACTTGTATACAATGAGGGAAGTAGCAACAGAGCTAGTTCTCTGCTAGTATTATAGGAACCTAGGGAAAAGGAAGAGGGCAATATAAAACTGTGATCAAGACTAACAGTGTGAGAGGACGCATAAGCCTGGAACCTTTGGTGGAAACCTTGCATGTGTGTGTCTGTGTATCAATCAATCGCCACCTGTTGCTGGTTTAGCACAGCCTGAATATTTCATTACAACAGATCAGAGTGGAAGAGGAGCCTTCTAGGCTTGACCGTGGTGGCTGGTATGAGGAAACAGATGCACCGTGGCCACAATGTCAACTAAAAGGGTCAAACTGTTTTATTTTACACTCAGTATTTTTGAGGCACTGGGAACTCCTCCTAACTTTAATAATTTATCACAGCTGTAATTTATGAACTTTGCACCACAGTCAGATGACAGCCAGCTACCAAATGTTATGATGTGGATATGAAATGACAGTCATAAAGCCACCTGGAATGTAGAAATAAAAAACATTAACTGACTTCAGTCAGGCCCCTTGAGACAAACTGGTGATTTGACTATGTATTAAAAACTAACTTGAATTCATAAGCTCAAAATCTAAGACCATATATATATATATCAATACTTCATAGAATAAATTAAGTGAAAGGAAATGTTACTTTTAAAGTTGTTTTGCTGCACCAGCAGTTTTACCCCCACATTACACTACAGTGTACTGTCAGCGGGGATAGGTCTGGAGCGAGCTGTGTAAACCAAACCGAAACGTTTGTAGTTACAGCGCTAAATACAAAAGCTCAACCCAGCACATCTATGCCGGAATGACTCTCATTCTTATAGTAATCCAAAAGCTCCTTAACTTCAAATACTAGCATCTATGTACTTTTTCTAAAACTCTATATACTTTAAATTGCCGGTACTTGAAACGGAGTTCGGAGTTCCTCACTAGTTAACCGGACCGGCTAAGTTGCTAAAAAAAAAAAACAAGGAGGCAAACTTACATGCTAAACAGACCACCAATTATAAAGATACAGTTTTTAAAAAGGAGTAGTGGGCTATTAGTATTATCCTATCTTATGTAATAGTTACGTTAATCTAAGAAAAGATGTTAAGATTTATCGAGTAGCAGAACGATGGTGATAGTTTTAGTTTCTGTATTTTATGTGGTGTGTTTAAAAACGCAGGTAAGAAAAACAAACAAATTATACTCACTATTCTTTAATCAGCATGCTGGCTGTATCTCGGTCCAGATAGTAGCATATGACAAAATGGTAACCCCTGGAAGACCTGACAAAAGTCGTTCATTCAGCGCTGGAAACTTTTTACCACGGGGTTTCTTCCTGAATGATGCCGTTTATGACAGAAAGGGCGCGGCCTCGGGAAAGGAGGAGACACCCACGTTTAGTTTCAGGTAACTAGGTGTGACGTTCAAGGGAGTTGGTAGAGTTCAGTGTTAATAAAATTACTTTTATGTTGGGAGTATGGCTGTGTATTACTGTATCACTTCTGTTACTAGCTACTGCTTCTTTTACTACTAAGTCATTGTTTTTCTCATGGAAGCCTTCCTTTACTACTAGTGGCATCATTGCTGCTTCAGTGAAATAATAAATATAATTATCCTCATGGTGGTAATAAGATTACTAATGTAACTACCAGCCTGAACAGTGAGATTTGTTTGTTTTGAATGAATTGTATGGTATTTTATTTGTACAGGGGGCCACATTTTAAAGGTCACATGGTTGAAAGATCCCTGAGTCTACATGTTATAATGAGTGAAGCTAAAGATTGTCTGTATTTTTATTTGTTAAAAGCAGTGCTTACAGCTTAGTGAGCATCAGCTGGTTCTCAAGTGTAGTGCAAAATGTCTTGTCTTCTCAGAGGGTGGAGCGGTGTGTGTCTGTGTGAGTCAGCACCCCAAGTGTGGTCAAACCAGTACAGGAAAAACCTGTCAGCTCTAGATTAGCCTGGATCAGCCTGTTTATTTTAGATGACTCAGGCAGTTTATGTCCACTCTGGAGGTCCCTCAGTGGTTAAAACAGCACTGAGGAACTGTGTTGTCTAAACACTTTACCCACAAAGTCCTCTCATGTATTACAATTGTATCATGCAGATACTTCTCTCATGCAGGTATCATGAGTACCAGTATCACAGTGAGAGTCTGACCCCTACTGCTCATGAATTGTCAATAATAATGTCTATGCTGTACTATAATACAAAAGAAAACCAAGTATTAATTATAAGTTGTGAAAATACATCATAAACACTCGAGAAAAAAGGCTTAACTATCAAATAACACAACTAAACTGGATGTATGGTAGGTAGAAAAAATGCAAAAGGTGCACATCAGTGGTGGGAAACAGAGGGTCAGTGTTTCAGCTAAATGCCCATTTTGTGCCAAGGCACTGCCATAAAACACCAATTATTTAGAAAACAAACTATTCATCATTAGAGGAGAATCACTGTCCTAGGACGCTGAGGTTAGACCAGGAATGCGGCAGCACAGAGGAGGACAATGTGAGTCGTTTAAGGTGCGGCAGTGAAGGAATAATTGATTAATTTCCCATTCAGAGGCATTGTAGGTAACTCTCATTCTCTCTCAGGTTTGTGGATTAAGTCAGCCAGTAAATTAATTAAACTGGCATTTTTAAATAACACCATAATAACACAAATCATGTGTATGTGGAACACAGCAGTGCGCATTTGAGTATATGATCATTTTTATCCACTAATAATAATAATACAAAATTATCAATGTCTTACTGCAAATTTGTATCTGAAACAGTGAAAGACAAAAGAAAGACATATCCAAGACATGGATAAGAGGTGGCAATCCAACACTTTGGTTTTAGACCTTGGTTGGTAACAGTAACGTTTGTAATAAATGTAGTGCTGGCATTAAATGAGGATTCATCACTTTATTCTACATGAGATCATCTTCGTATGCACCTGTCTACCAGGTGTGCAGTCTATCTTACATGCCAAGAAATGTGCAAATGTGAACTTTTTAATGAAAAATTTTTTAATTACACATAATTATTTTCCACTTTACAAAAGTTCCTTCACATTTGTCATCTAACTGAATATGGTTAAATCATTTCTGCACCAGTTGTACTTCCTTACAATTTCCTCTGAACCTTTACAAATAACAAACTCATGCAGTTTAGTAAGGACAAAAATGTCTACAGTTCCAACTGATATGTACACACTTAAGAATGCTCCTGAACTGAGAGACAAGACTCTGCCGTTCATGCACATAAAGGCAACATAACAAACGTGAAAAAATATGTTTCTTTTCTGAGTATAAAAAAACAGCATCTTTCCTTTCCAATGTTCTGAATTACAAATCCTTGCCTGAAACTCTGAGTATACATTCTCTCCATCATGCACCACTAGTAAGCAGCCATGTACTGTGTGTAGGATACAGTGGGGGGCAGGTCATTCAGAAATACACAACTGAGGACCATTTTAGAGGTCTAAAGTGCATCATGTGCTATTCATTTCTCAATTACACATTCAGTGGGAGCATCTTATGGCAGCAGAGGCTTGTCTTTCAGGACACCAGTAAACATTTTAAGGTGTGTTTATGGATGGATGGGTGGATGAAAACAGTAGATAAACAAATAGACGGAGAGAAGGAGTGGGTGTATCATATCCTCCCTGGATCCACTCCTCCCACCATCTAAGAGAGGTACTCCGAGGGTCATGGCTGTCTGTGCCTCTGTGAGATACTACCAGGCAGAAAATATCTGAGGAGTGTCACTGTATGGCATCTGGAGACAGCAGACTCAATCAAACTGCAATGATTATCTCCCTGTATCATTCTTTACATGCTTCATGCTCCTCTAGGGAGTTTTCCTTTTTGAAGACATCAGCCTACTCCCTTCAAGCTAATCTTCCTTTATGTCCATAAGAGGTGAATCCAAGTTTCCCAGATCAGATGCTGTGCTTGTGCTTTGTGTTATAGTGCAGAACTACCACAAAAGTGTTAGGAGAGAAAGAGAAAAGTAGGAATTTGAAACTGTAACTTGTTTGGTTCTTTGGAAATCTACTGCATCAGCAACTAAAAAGCAGGTGTTGTTAGTAATTTGAAGGCAATTTGTTGCCTTTATGGTAAAATTACAGCAACTGCTCCTTAAAGCAAAACAATACATTTGTGTAAATTCAACTAGCACCTTTTGAGATTTAGCCATACAGTCCAATAAATGACACATATGATCCTGCCTCTGTGTGATTGTGTCAACATGTTGCCCAGCACCTCACAGAAGCACTTATTGCCACAATGAATCAAGACTCCAAATTCATGTGTGTAGTGAGTAGAAAAACACAGGGCTCCAGCTTTTAAACAAAGACACTGTATCTAACGTGTCTGTCCTGTCTACCTACTCTCAGCACATTTTCTCTTTTACATCTTCAGATCATATACAGGGAACAAAGTTTTAACAACACTTTTGTGACCGTATTGCAAGTACACGCATTTGAGAAAAACAACACTTACATATTCCAAACACACATTAAGAATTCATGACTTAGAATATAAAAAAAACACACAAAACAGAAAAACAGACCGCATGGCAAATTTGAGTGTCTCCTGCACTAATGATGGAGTGAAACAGTAATATAGGACCAGCACTGTCTCTGGCATCATGCATGTGTTGTTTATCCAAACCAGTTTCTCACGCTGCATTATGTAACACACATGCAGAAATGCTGCAGTGTTTTCTTGACTAACTCATTTGTGCATCGTGTGCTGATTAAAAAGCCAACATACTGTGTCTCAGTCCGAACTGCTACCAATACTGCTGTCAGTTAATGCCCTCGAGCACCACAGGAACCAAAGATGTCATGACCAAAGGTGCTACTTTTGTGTATATGCTTTTATTGTAGTCTCCCAAAGAATGTTTAAATCCTCACTAATAAAGGAGACGACAAGCAGCACCATTAAACACTGGATTGTGCTGTCTGAGAGAGGTGAGAGTTTACAAACCAATCAGAAAGGTCACCATGGTAGCAGGAGTCCAAAATGCATCAGTTTCTTGTATCGTCGCTTTAAAGTACAGTACTGTCACTGAGAAGTTGTCGCCCCCAAAATGTCCTCACTGTGGCTTTCTGTTGGTTTGGTGTTTTCTTCTTCTGTGGTTTTTAGGTAGGACAGTCAGGCTGAATCAGTTAGAGAAGAAGTGTGTGTGTGTGTGGCTTGTCACAGTGTATACTGGAAAAATGAGGGAGAGAGACATTGGATGCCACAGTGGTCTGTAGTCATGTTTGAGCAAAAGTGATAGGTAGCATAGTGGTGAGTGTCTGTGAAAATGTATAAAGGATTTGTGAGATATCAGACAAACCGGAGAGAGGTACAGGATGACAGCGTGAATGTATTTATCAGACATTACACAGGAAAGTGTAATGTGTGCCACTCTCCTCTCCCTCTCCTCTTCTATCTGTGCTTCCTTCTCTCCTTAGTGTAGGTCATCCTCTCCAGTTTTTTAAATCATCTTCCACCAGTACTACACGAAGGCTTCGGGCTTGCCGCCGTTGTTCATTTTAACATAAATCTTGGGATCCTCATCACGCTCATCTCTGAGGCGCTGGAGGTGACGGCTGTGGCACAGCAGGTAGATAGGCAGACAGAATCCCAGCATGCTCAGTGCCAACAGGCCCACATTCACCTGAAAACAACATGAGGGTCATGCTAACATAACAATCCATGACTAAAAATCACATTTCTAATGTTTAAAGAACTAAATATTTCCTACTGAACTTGCTCCTTCATTCATTCATGCTAATGTTGATGCGTGATCTTACCCATAGAGGGTCTCCCTCCAGGGGTCCCACCATGGCCATGAAAAGAGGCTGCTGGAGCAGTGCGAACAGAGCACTGATCAGAGACTGCATGCCAGTCAGGCTGCCAAACTGAGAAGATGGGTACCTGCATGGGACAAACAACATGTTGCAGATGGTGAATTCAAGCAGGTGTCCTCACTAACCTGAGGTGGTACTATGAACATCAACTCCTGGGCTAAAGGTTCAATTCCAGCTGAAACAAATCAAATTAAAATACATAATCCAAAAGTATGTATATGGGTATGAACACTTTTCATATGGGCCTGCTTATCAAGTGAGAATACCTTTGATCAACAGTGGACATAACTGACAATTATGGGATATCCCACATATTTATCAAAGCTAATTGTTTTGATTAAAGAATGCATCAAAAGTAACAAAGAAAGATATTATATCATGTTGCAATTTGCAGCTTGCATGTTGCAAATCTGGTGTAACAGGCCTTAACACCTAACATCGATGACCTCACTAATGCTCTTGTGGCTGAATGAGAGCAAATCCCTGCAGCCAGGTTCAAAATCTTGTAGAAAGCCTTTCCAGAAGAGTGGAGTCTCTTACAGTAGCCGATCAACACCCAGGGTTTGAATGAGATGTTCCACGTCACAAAAGTGTTACATCCAGGTGTCCACATACTTTTGGCTATGTAGTATATCTAGTAATTCTATGGTACTGTAGTTTTATACAGTATTGTTGTGTATTTTCACATCATCCTTTGAGCACGTGAGGCACTTACACAGCAGCATAGAGGCCTCCGACGGCAGAGTGGATGAAACCTCTGACAATAGTGTGCAAAATAAAGGACAGAATCTGAAAAGAGAATACACATTTTGAATTAGGTACCAGGTCAGCTGACAGTGAGAAATAGCAGATACTAAATGAGATTTGGAACTAGCAAGTAATATGTAATGACTCCATTGTCCAGTAGATGTCACTAAAGTACTTAGAAATATTAAGAGCTGCATGCCATGTGAACCCCTCCTATCTGAACATCATGTACTATACAGCGCTCATTCTTCTGCCTGAACATCGTGTACATCTCTCAGCCTTTCCCCCTTTGCAGTATTAACTGTTTTTGTGAGGACGCTACAGCTGCGCATGGGAGGAAATGTGTTTCCCCAAAAGGTTCAGAGAAATAACACAGATCTCTATCCTGTGTGTGTGTGTGTGTGTGTATGTACCTGAAGGGGCAGGTTAGGGATGATGCAGGTGACTCCAAAGCCAACCAGGAGCAGGTTGGTGAAGATGAAGGCTCTAGTAGCATTGACAATCTTCTGGATCTGTTTGTCAGGGCGACGGGGCTGACCAGGCTCCCTAATCGACCAGATACATTAGTTACATATAGATATAATACCAGACAGAGTATGTGTGTTATCTTCTTCTTCTCTGCTCTCAGACTAAATGTGCATGTTTATGTGAGCAACCTAACCTCTCGGCACTCTTGTCATTCTCATCCTCGCAGTCTTTGAGCCGCCAGTCCATGACGTAGCCAATCACAGGGGAGGTGACCAGACACAAAAGCTGGAGCACGCCAAAGACGGACGTGTAGATGCTCACTGAGAGACAAACAACAGTATGGACAGACTTATTATGTTTATTATGTCAAGTTCTGAGGCTGTTGCTTTTAAATAAGAATTGTTTAGTGAAGAGGGCGATGCACAAGCAAACACACTGGACACTGACAGGAAGATTTTATGCTTTATGGTTTTTCGGCTTGTGACCACACATTTTACTAAAAATGTTATGTTCTCGCAAGACAAAGAAGACAGATGTCTGAGAAGAGGAACCGAGGAGAGTCTGTGGTTAGAGCTTTGTAGCATTAAGTCTCTTACCTACATGCATCCTCTCCACTGCAACAGCAACAGGAAGCCAGCATGTCAGGAAAAGAGAAAGAGCAAGAGAGATGAATGGAAAAGGAAAGACAGGGCAACAAGCTGAGCAGAAGGCAGCTGTAGAGGATTATTAGGTGCTAGAAAGCAGAAAGAAACAGACTTCAAAGCAGCACAATTAAATGTCTGTCATCATATGTTAAAGATAAAAAAAACAACCATTCACAGCACACCATCTGTGTTAATATACCGTTTAATCCACACACATAACACACCTGTGCCAAGGTCTCCCTCTGTCAGGGACTCCAGGATGGTGTTCATGGCTCCCATGTAGAAGATGAGGCGCAACTGGGTCACACACATTGTGATGAGGCTCAGCAAGAAGATGGAACTGTAGATACTCTTCATGAAGGACTGAGCTGCAGAGGAAATGAGAGATGGGATCGTTAGAGTCAGCACTAGATCAGATCAATTTGCTAATATACCACAAATACACTGACATATTACGAAACATCTCAAATACTGACCGTGACAGGTTTGTTTACATTTATTAGAATGAGATTGTTCCTGCTGCTTTTATGGCACAAAGTGGTTGTTTAAATGAAAGTAAACATCATAAACAGTGAAAAGTTATGGACTGCCAAGGCCCATATGAGTCTTCAGTATGATTCTCTGTGATTTCATTATACAGTGTGCCCTCTGCAAACCTTTTTATGTCTGTTATCTAGCATCAGGTTGTATATTACAATATATTTTCATGATCACCCACTTATTACAGTTATCGGCTGTTTCCGCAGAAGGATAAAATGTTTGCCTGGTGCAAAACCAACATTTCAGTATTTTCATAAACTGTAAAACTCCTGGACTTAATACATGTTCCAGCAAAGAAAACGAGCATTCTGCAGAAATACTAGCTTTTATAATTCTGGTTACATTATAGACATCTATCAGATATTACTTTTGAATAAGCATCCCAATGCTGGACCATATGTAAAAAGTAAAATCCTAAAGGGTTACTCCAGTGAACTAGCACTGAACCTCCGTAATGTATGAGACTCATAAAAGACGCATTTAAAACAGAATGATCAAAATCAAAGCTGCGGGGGCCAAGATATCCCTATTTATAGACCCCAAAACACTGGATAGTACATTTCCCATAATGTACAGTAATTTAATTGCATCTCTTAGCAACATTTCCTGCCTCCTAAATGCAGACTTCTTTCTAACTAAGCACCTCCAGTTTGTAATGCAGGTTTTCTGTAAAGCTGTCTCCAAATCAGAGCCAAGATAACCCCAGTGATATGATTAGAGTTATTTTTCAAACTTTGGGAAGCTCCTCCGGAGCAGCAGAGGACATTATTAAACTATCTTCACTGCATATGTAGTTCTTCTTGTCGTGAGAAACTGAACTGAACTGCGATGGAGTTCCCCCACTAAACCTCTTCTCTAAGGGTTGTGTAGGGAGTGCTATGTTTAAAACATAAAAGTGAGAAATACAGTGTTAAGGTTAAAAATGAGTCTAGGTGTCACCTTACTCTTAAGAACTGCAGATCCTAAAATATATTTAGCATTAACTGGAGAACTTTAGTGCCAAATGATGAACTAAATGTTGCTCAAGAGGCATTTACATCATACATTTATATTCAATTAGCGCTCCAAAATTTGCATTTTAACACACAGCTTAAATGTGACCCCTCTGAAGCCTCCACAGTCTGCAGGTAATGTATCAGCACCTTCATGTACAACACAGTCATCTATAAGCCCCCACATTTTTTTTTACTTTCTAAATTCTTTTGATGTGACAGGAAACTGCAGTGCACTTCCACCCCAGGGTAAGTCTATTGTTATGGTGGATATAAATATTCCCACTGGCTCTTGGGTGCCATGGTAACACATCTTAACCTGAATGAGAAGCTGAGTGGATAAGGTGACTTCTAGAAAAAGCTGATCATTAAACAGATTTGTAAATATAAATAGAAAATTGATACAACTACCCATATGGTGAACCACAGGACACACCTATTAGTGGTGAGTACACAGATGGGCAGATGGGTTTATTACCCAGAACCACAGATATCCATCTAAGGCTCAATAAAGGCATAAGTTCAGTAACAAGTCATGCTTGCAAGGCATTATAATGTTTCATAAGCACTTTTACATAGACATCCTTGATAGTTAGCTACTATATTCAGAGTACAAATAACACATTCTGAGGCTGTGCTAACTAAATGCTAATGTAACCAAGCTAACAAACTCACAATGACAGTGTTTACTACTGATGTTATAATGCTTACAATGACCACAACCTTAGCTAACATTGGTTGATTAGAACAAAAGATGAAAAGTCAGGGATCACCAAAGTTATTGTAATTCATCCTGAGGTGGGCATGAATTTCGGTAGAAGTTGTTTTTTTGTTGTTTTTTTTAATACTTTTTTTAAAGCAAAAGTACTAAAGTGCAGTTTGGTGTTGTTAGTGCTCTAGTCTCCTTAATGCCATAAAAACCACCAGCTGGTGTCTAAGTGTGTAACATGGGCCTCTTTACAGCTACTGACAGATGGAACGTGTCCAGCTGTTATGAAACCAACTATGAGCTAAAACACACACACTTGGACTGGCTGTCACTTCAGCCTTCACCAATGCTTCTCTAGAGCTGCCTGCCAGCACACAACACACCTCCTGAGAGGCCTTTCTAGGAACAGGGTCTGAACCGATTCCACGGTCCGCTTGTTACCAAAGAGACTGCCAGGGGAGCAGCAAGACCGCCCCCACTGGGACTCCCTGACCCCAGCGTGGGAGCCAGGAGGGCCCGAGGAGGCCTGGAGGTGTAGGGGTAACAAAGGTTAGCTTAGCATGGATGTAGGACAGTGGTAAAAGGGTAGTTTAGGTGTACCAGAGGGAGGTGAGGGGCACTTGTTGCTAATTGTTTTGTACAGATGTACTGTAGGTCAAATGCAGAGCTTTTTCAGTGCTAAGAGGTGATGCTGCTGACTTTCCAGCTTTACATCAATAGTACTCTGAATAGTGATTAATAATGTTTTTGTTTATCTGATAAATATAAGTCCAGTATTCACTTTCCTTTTAGCTCCATTTTGGTCTCCAAGAGAAAAACATCCTGAGAAAAACATCTGGCTTTTTAGAAGCTCAGTACCCTTCCTTGTTCATCGGTTAGACAATAAGTTTCTGCAATTTGGTCCTGCAGGATTATCAGAGAGTATCTGTTCCCGAGGGACTATGTCTCTCGGCTGGCCTGGGAACGCCTCGGCATTTCCTCGGAGGAGCTGGAGGAAGTGTCTGGAGAGAGGGAAGTCTGGGCATCTTTGCTTAGACTGCTGTCCCCGCGACCCGGTTCCGGATAAAGCGGAAGAAAATGGATGGATGGAGGATTATCCGAGATTTTTTTACACAAAACAACTGTTTGTTGCAGCTAAAAATTAGACTGACAAGTGTACTTTGAATGCCGTACAATCTATGAGAAAAACCATTAGAAAAAAGCCACAGTGCTCTGTGTAGCTAAGAGGTGTGACAATTCTCTGTGGGTTTGTCACTACAAGCGACAACCTTCACATTACACTTAGTCATTTGCTAGTGTAAAATTGAATGCAGTTGTGTTTGCTTCATGCTGTCTTATGCAGTGTACAATCATTTTTAACAGCTTTATTATTGTATTAGCTTCCCATGTGTGTGACTAGGGCTGTATATTGATTCACTATCATTATATTTATTGACTTGCTGCTGAATCAGGAGAGAATAACAAGATCTCACCATGTTCTGTTAAATTCTTCTGTATGAATGATTCGTTCAGAATAAAATGCTTTTAAAAATACAATAAGTAACTGCAGATTTCCTACTTATATGAAAACTTTAGGCTTCTGCATTGCATATCATGGTCAAGTTGCTTTCAAAATCAAACATCCGTATTAATGGTGAATATCCAACAATCTTACAAACATTCACTGTGTAAGACAAACCAAATAGCTTAATGGCTTGTTTCTGACAGTCCATCCCATGAGCGTGGGACAAAGTCTCGTCTGTATAGCTTTTGTCCGCTTTTAGACAAATCTGGCACGGAGCAGCTCTCCTGCTCAATTCATTCACAATGCCGACTCAACCAGCAGACTGGCTTTTGACATGCTTGAATGAATATTCATAAGTTGGCAAAGAGGACACAACAAATAGTGGGACAGCCTTTGCTCAACACTGAGTCATTTCAGCTCAAGCAGCACTTCTGCTGACTGCTCTGTTTTTGGAAAGCTCTGCAGCATTTGGATGTCTTCTGTCTCACAGATATGCAGACAGCACTGACGTTCTGTTAGCAGCATGTTGGGGATTTTTGAAGAAGCTGTGAATGAGCTTGTACAAACAAAAAGCAGTACTAGAAATCTTCCAAGCAACACACATTTCATTCAACTTCCACATTTTTACTTTCACTACCAACTTGCTACTGATTCCTGACATTACAAAACGTCTACGGTCTTCTGTTTCAGACTTACTCTCCTCCTTGGACTTGCCCTTCACTTCCAGGTCGACAGTGGACAGGCACAGCTTGTTGGCCTCCTGCGTGGCCAGGTCTTGAGTCGGCTGTTGGTGCTGTTTGATGGCGTTGCCGACACTGAGACGACGCCCCACATTGGTCACCTGCCGGTAAAACTGCTTCCCAGTGATCTTGTGGTCAAAGCCCAGCCAGCTGAACTTGATTTTCACCCTGAGGGAACAGTGAAAGAAGACAGCAAGATAAAAGATGATATTCACCAAAGCAAATGTAATGAAAAAGGAATAGGAACATGGGAGGGAAGGGACAAACTGCAGACATGGATGACAAGGGAAAAGACAGAAGGAGACAAGATCCAGGTGAATGAGAGCAGCTGATCATCTCTTTTAATGGTCTTTCCTGTCTCTCGGGCTCACTTGGACTCTGCTGCATTACACTGGGATTTCCTGGGATGTCTGTGTAATCTAATACATGTGTATGTGATCTTTGTAGAGAATCCAGGCTGTCTGTGCTCAGCCTGAATACATTTAGGTTAACTAATGTCATCACAGTGGCAGCTTAATAATGATAGCTAGCACCTACTGTAATGTCTATTTGACTGTGCGTGTGTGTACATACGTGAAATCCATGTCCTCTGGGCCGGGGAAGGGTTCCAGAGGCCAGTTGACGAAGCAGTTGAGGAAGACAAGACAGGCACAGCCAGCCCAAACCAGTAGGATGGAGATGAAGGTGGCACCCAGATCATAGATCACCTACAGATGGGCAGATGATGCCAAAAAAATATAGTAAAATGAAGAATGAATGACACATTCTGTGATTATTCTTTCTTAAGGGCACTGCACACAGGTGGCGCTGTATTGTGGCCCCCCAACACACACTGGGAGCAGCATGAATTCAGTGTGGGACTACCGAAATGGGCAAGTACTTCAACATTTGACACCTTTGAGGGCATCAGTGCTGGAAAAATAGGACAATAGTATATCCTAAAATGTTGTCGCACATCAGCCTGCAATGACGCACGTCAGTTCGCCGCTGGTGTGTTGGCTTTCACTGAAAATAATGGGTGTGGTTGTTTTAACGTGTCACAAGCTGCCTGTGTGCGGTGCCCTTTAAATCATCAATAAATCATATTTATGATAAAATCAAGAATCAGGTGATGTAAATGACTGTGCAATCAAATGTTACCTTAATGCCAGGGAAGGTGACAGCAGAGGAGGCATAAGATCCAATCATCAGGGCGATGAAGGTTGACCTCAGGTCTCCAAACATGTTGGGGAGCTATGGCAAGAGCAGGATTACAAACAGGAGTAAGGTTATAAACATAAACATAATACACAGAAAGTCTCCATAAAGGTGCATTCAGAACAAAACTGACAATCTCAGTCTTCATCGCTGTTTGTTTACATTATGACACACTATTAGCCTGGGACTTAAAGGAGAGCAATTAACTTCCCACTTGCTTCAACAACAAGCAGAAACACAGACTGATCTTGAGCTTCTCCAATTTCACTGTGGGAGTATAGAAAACGTTTTGAAGTGTATCATCCCAAGTGCTTCACTGATGGAACAAGGAGGATTTTTGCCTTTGAAGCAGTAAAAATGTTGTGTGGGCACTGCACACTGTGCTGCAGCACTAAGAGGCACCACATCGTACTGACTTAAAGCAAAACTTTGTAACTTTTGAAAGAATAATTAAGAATGAAACACTCTTTTGCTCAGTTGAAAAGACTTAGGAGTTGTGCTGCTGCAGTCTCACCTGGTCTGGTTATCTTATGTTAGCAAACCTCCCTGCTCTGCACACACCTAGCCAAACAGTTCTGGTACTACTGGTAGGCCTGTCACCACAAAGTACAAACTGTGCTGCTTGCAGCAGGGCGTTTCTCACACTGTTTGTGTCCCAGTATTTGAAATGGTGCAGGGACAAAAAAGCCAGACTCATCTTGCATAATGACACTCAACCTTCAACTTGAGCTGTGAGTACATGCTGTTTTTAACTAGGCAACTTCAAACTGTAAACATCATGAAGTAAACAGCAAAGAGTAAACATGTGGCTTAACATATGTCCGTGTGAACTTTAATTCATGCCATTTTAGAGATTACAGAGGAGACTCCCCCAGTGCCATAATTGTAAATATAACCACTGTACATATTTACCTTAAAGCTCTTTTGCCATAATGTGTAAATATGTATAGATAATTAGAAATAGATTGTTTTTGCCCCCCCCCCCCATTTGATTGTACATACTGTAAAGTATATTCCTATTTGAATACATATATTTTCTTGCTGCTTTACAAAAGCACATTATGAATCACTGCACCAGAGTCAAATTCCTTGTATGTTTAATGTACTTGACCAATAAATCTGATTCTTATTCTGATTCTGATTACAATATAGGATTTTTAGAAAGAGGAGAGAAAAGCAAACTCCAAGTCACTGGCAGTGAGCGAAGCGGTTCCCTGGAGAAAACCATAAAGGCAGGAAGTTCAAAACATATAATGTTATTATGGGTCATGAATTGCAAAGCTATGCTCAGAATTCCCTCCAGTTCCTCCCTCATTGTCTTTATCTGTCCGTCCAGCCGTTTGGTAACCACAGGGTGCAGCTTGTTAGGCAGCTGCTTGAACCCTCTCACCCGACACAGACATCACTCCTCAGAATAATTGGACCAAAGGTAAGATAGAAAACTGTTACACCACTGCCAGGACTTCCAAAATGAAAAGGGCCAGGAGTTCTTAAGTTCCTCTTCCTCTGTAGCTCCGTTACTTTTGGCCTAGTTTGTGTCTAGCTCAGCAAACATGATGTGGTCATGATAAATCAAGGCCAACTCCTGATATCTACGCAGTCAACAGGCTCACATTTCCCCACTTCCTCATTCTTTAACATGCCACATTTTTTATGTCCAGTCTTTTGCAAGAGCTCAAATAATAGCAGGGTAAGGTTTGATGTCAGGGACTGTATGAAAATTATTACAGGGCTGAAGGGCTCAGAAAAAGTGGAAAGCCATTTTTCTTCCTGGCTAAAGATAGTGCAGGTTTTTGGAAGTAATGCTTTTATCAGGGCTTTCCCTATCACAGAGAGGCTTAGTGCAGTGCCTAAGTGTTTTTACAGCGGGCCTAAGCAGAGTGAACGGGAAAAGGTGACATATCAGAATGAATGTAAAGACAATGATGACTTGCTGAAAACTAACAGAGATGTAACGTCATCTCAGAATGAAACATAAGCTGGCAACAGGAATGACCCGTCAATCAACAACCTTTGTCAATGAGCTTTTGCTAAGCTAAAAATGTGCTAACATGCTAATAACGTTATAACAGATATGGTTTTATCTTTTAAAACTTTTGCTCCTTAGCCTCAGAAAACCTTGAATCATTTGATATTCTCTGAAGACATTTGAAAAATAAATGATAAAACTTGGGTCCATATTGTTTTAAGTGTTTAAAAAGCCCAAGGTTACGCCCCCTCACCATCCCAGTAGTTTTTGTATAGTTTCTAAGTCACTAGTCCAGTTTCCCCATTTAGGTTCCAATATTCAGCATAGATAAGAATAAGGCTACTGCAAAGTGGACAAGTCAGTCCCTAACCTCTTGGCCATGGTGTCTCTCCCACTAATACAACTGGGCTTGTTTATTTTCTCTGTGAACAGGTTAGTTCCAGAGAAGCGCTGTTATCTCTGGCAATAATTTATGCAAATGCACAAGTGGGAAAAAACAACAAATCCATGTGAGCAAACAAGTGCAGGGCCAGAGTGAAAACCACAAACTATCTGTGATTACAGCAACATGTCAAAACCTGAGGAAAAGCCACAGCTGGCCCTCGTGAGGCTGCTGAGTGTCGACTCGATGAAACGCATACGTCACTGTGAGTGTGTCTGGGTCACTGGGTCTGAGTCACAGCCAGCTGCTGAAACCAGTTTGGTCTGCTAATGAAAGAAGAAGCAGGGATTAATGGGTTTAGCAGATTATGTGTGTGTGTGCGTGCGTGTGTGTACTGATGGGAAGAGCAGATGCCCGAACTGACAAGAAGCAGATAACAGTGTTTTGTTGCTGAAGTCGTCAATAACCCATCAGTCAAGCAGACAGGTGACTTTGTGAACAAAGAACCTGCTGTGGCTTCAGGTTGTCAACAGTACAGTAAGAGTAACACACTGGTTAAACACTCTAAGGTGATCTTTAGGGCCAATGAAAGGTCACCAACTCTAATGAAAACACATTTTACATTATGTTCTTGCTGGCTCATGAAAACCAGCCATATGGATTAATATTAGCTTAGTGTAGTTTCAGAATGCTAACGTTTCATCCTGAGGGGACATGGACTTTGCTGCTCAGAAGAAAAAAAAAATCAGTCTGTAAATTCTAATCTCTGTTAAGGTTTAAACAAGATGTTCCTTTGGAGATCAGCACTCTGTCTCGTTAAGGGAATATCCTGCCTGTGTTACTTATGTGTCACAAAGTTCCTAACCAGAGGCAATCCAAGAATTTGTTCTGAAAGTTTCACCCCACCTATTCTTTTCTACCTCATTAAACGCAGGCTTTATTCATCTTCAATTGTCTCCCAGTATCATTTGCACCACAAATATCAGAGTCGGTACATTTATGTCCAGTGCGAATGTTGAAGGAGAAGACAGAGTGCACTAGTGAGTGTAGATACCTCTCTAACATAATAACACTTTCCATCCACTTTGTTGTTTCTTCTTCTCTGAATAGCTCTTTTGTTATCTCTGTGGTCACAGCATGTCCATGCAGAGAGTGGAAGGGTACAAACATGGACAGGCTCAGTGTCTGGATAGCCACTAAATGTCTATTTTAGCTTAAGAGTAGTCACCTAGAGATAAGAGATCAGGTTCCAGTTGGTGCAGGTGCAGCTTTTTTTTGTGCTGGCATTTATGTGATTTAATCAAGAAAACACAAAACATATTCTTAAAATGATGAAAGAGTTTATCAGTAAAATGATCTGTTTATTTTAAGGTTTTGTTTGAACAGTACCCAGGTAAAACCAGCTCTATTCTTATTCTATTGAGCAACTCACACGTGTGAATGAGGCAAGTTTAAACAAACTCTTCACAGAACAAAAAATATGTCAAATACGTCTGTTATTGGTTATGTACTATATATATGAATGAAACAAATATTTTGGAAGAAACCTTTTTGGGTGATTTAGAGTTAGCCTATTTAAAAACACTCCACCAGCTCTTGGGCTGCTGCCAAAATGTCCAGGAGAAATGTAAATGAAACCAGCAATGTTTTACAATCAGCAATGTAATGAAAGAGGTCAAACCCACTCATTTCACCCAACCTGCTAATCTAATAAGTAAGAGGTTGAGAATGGTAAACATTATAGTTGCAATACATCAGCATGTTAGCATTATGAGCAAGTTAGCATATTAGCAGTTAGGTAAGTACAGCCTCAAAAAGGCTGTTAGCATGGGATCAGACTTTTGTTAATGCTGTAATATGTGTTTACTTCACCGCCACCTGTTGAAACCTGCTTGGCTGTGATCTGGGCTTGTTTGGATGAGAGTGCTGAATGTTGTTCATGTCTGACTGTTCCTGTTGTTGTCCTTTACTTTTGCACATATTCTGTAAGAGTAACTCAGTGTGTGCTGAGTGTTAAAACTGGAAACGAAGAAGGCAGAGTGTAGTGTGACAAAGAGACCTGTGGTGTGAGAAAACATGCTGAGCCTACAACCAGGTATTGGGGGGGGGAGCAACTGGCCAGAGCTGATTGAGAGGAAAGAACAGAGAAATGAAATAAGGAAGAGGATTTGCTGCAGCAAGTGGAAACTTCAGCTGCTGGCTGCTGGCTGACTGTGAACCAGCTCTGACCAGTCCTGGCGTGACGCACAGGATAGAACTCCAGCTATCATGCAAAGCAGCCGAGTGATTGTAACATTAGCAAACATCAGATGACGAACACCAGACTGCATACCTCCATAGCTTTGCCCTCATGTTTTGCTCCCTCTTATTAGAGGTCTTATGTTTTTAATTCTGAGCTTCATATCTTTTTAGTCTGTAACCATTAGAATCTAACACCAAAACACAAAAAAGCACAAGCGTTTCCAGCAGAAATAAGTTCTTGAAAGGGTGTAGATATCTCTGAACAGGTACACCGTTGTGTCTAGAAGGGATTTAAACTAATTACAACTGCACCCTAACATAAAGACTAGATCCAGCAGTCACGTGGAACAGCCTGCTGCCAGATTCACACCACTTCCCAAACGTCCACATGAGCCTGATATTAGTGACTGCCACTCTGTGTGGACTCCAATTTCAAATTACTGAGCAACACTTGACCTTCGGCATTCATTCATCCTTTCCCCACTTATCCCCTCAGTCCCTTCCTTTCATCTGCTCACATTCAGTCAACATAACACACTGTCCTTTCTTCATCTGTCCCTGTTATCGTCCCTCACTGGGTACAATGAAGTGCTGTGTGTGCTTCATAAATTTTCCACCAAACAATAAATCCCTCCTAGTTTCTCAGCCCTGCCTCCAAGTTACAAGCTCATTAATTAGGAAGAACATTTAGATTTCTCAACTAAACACACATCAATCGCCAGAGTGGTGACAGTTTCAGGCTGCAAATCAGTTAGATGATCAGTCAAGTAGCTAGCAGGCACATAAGAGCGTTCCCAGTGGCACAGAAGAAAAGGAGTGGAAACAGGGGAAATACACATTATAAAACATCAGACAGAAAGCTGATTAGGGCAGAGCAGAGCTCCAAATCTAGTAAGGAGAAAGGGCTCAACATGTGCCACACGGGAGATGAAGGACAAGAGGAGGAGCTTCACATGTGCCTGTAGATGTGTGTCTATAGAGTGGAGTCTGTTTGAGAACATTTAAAAAGGAAAAGGAGATATTATCTGTAATATGAAACTGTTTATAAGCACATAATGGGAGGAATCAAGAGGAGAGAGGGAATACTCCCCGCTCCACATGCTTCACTACCTGTTTTCCATCACAGCCAGGACACTAAGTACTGAGTGTGTGTCAAGAAGGAAGCCAAGCAAAAAAATAATAATAAAGATAAAATAAATCAGAACTAGGGGACGGAGCCAAACAGTCCAGTTTAGCTCATTAGACGCAGTAAGAAAGGAACAGAACTACACAAAGACAGCACAATGAGAATAGATTGAAAGAAATCTCTGTTTCTCCTCCAGAATTACTGAAACACACACTGGGCGAATTGTCTGGGTCACCTTCACCTGAGGAATTACAGTGACACATGATGCTGCAGCCCCACAGGAAATAAAGGCTACAGTTTCTTATAATAGTTGTTTTCCTCAGTAACAACCCTTACCCCACAGAATTCAGGAAAGAGCAGGAAAATCCAGAACAAAGCACAAAAACACTTGCTCTGTCTTGATCTCTCTTTCTCACACTCGTGCAAAAATGTTTGCAATGTAAGCAAAACATTTGTTGAGGCATCCAGTGAGCTGTAGGAGTTTGCAGTAGGTTAGAGGTGCTCCACAGCTACAACAACACACAGTTGCACACACATAGCGCTGACACACAAGACACTTTTGACAGTGAGAGCAGCTGAAAGTGGAGAAGACAAAAACAACTAGGCTGAGAGTGGGGGGGGCTGATGGGGGGGGGGCGGGGTGCAAACCAGCTGGGCGACTTCTGTGTCTGAGTGTGTGTCAATCAGTTCAGCATGAATAGGAAACAGAGATGCAAGGGTGGGGAGACACATGCAAACACACAGTTCCCCTGTTGCTGCTTCCTGTTTGTTTCCTCACTGACGGTCTGTCTCTGCTCTCTTTGAGATAAAGAAATCAGAGACAGGGCTTGTTAGAGCAACTAGACTTGGGATGTCAACAACACACACACCCTTGTGTGAATTAAATAGTAATGAGGGGATGCCCTTTTTTTTTTTTTTTTGCTTGCAACCAACTGGTGAATACTAGATCATTAATGCACACTCGCTCTCTCTCTCTCGATGCAGCGTTTTCTGATGAGATCACCTCCACTGTGGCTCTCCTTGTCTACTCCATCCCTCCATTCTCCCTGGTCTGCACATCACTGATAGTGGCTTTTCTTCCACTAAACATCTTCCTCTTTCTCTCCTTCTTCATCCATCTTTTCCCACATTCCTGACCTGTAATGTATCTGTCTCTCCTCTCTTTCTCTCTTCACTGACACTCTTGTTTCTCCAACTCTTCATCACTCCTCCCGCCTCTTAAGCCTCCCTCCACCCTTCCATCACCTCTGCTTTTTCCTCATTTCCTCTCACATCTTGGTATTATGCTATACTGGCTTGCTGACACTGACATTCAGCTGACACCGTTTCTTTTCTTTCTCAAAATGTAAGTACAGCACAGCACTGTAATCTCTTTAAACCTTTCTTACCGTCAGAGAGGTGAAGGTCATGCACATGCCTCCGAACCCATTCATCGCCAATGCAAAGAAGATCAGGATGGACAGATCTGTGAGGCACATTAGTGACACAGACACATGACAACTCCCACACATCCTGTGTCACCGCCATATCGATACACTCTGACATGACATGAGCAGAGATACGTACTGTTGGGATCGCTTGCTCCATATGCGATGAGAAGGCAAGAGAAGGCAAAGCAGGCGCTGGTAACACACAGAGTAATGGGCATAAATAAGGCAAAACAACCAGACCTTAACTGTCAACACATCGTGTCAGATTTAGTTTTTAAATCCAGTCTGACCTGCCTACAAGCCTCAGCTTCCGTGGTCCGTATTTGTCCATTACGATGCCCATGGGAAGGGTGATAGCAGACAGCAGGAAAGAGCCCACAGTGAAGGCCAGGTTGAGCATCTCGTCCTGCTCCTTGCAGATGGACCAGCCATTCATCTCCAGGTGCTCCTGCTCAGCTGGCCTGTCATCCTCAGCAGTGGACGTGTTGGACATGTTGAGGCTGGAGCTGTTTTCTGGGTTGTGACAAAAAAAAAAAGAAAGCACAGAGAAAAGGCCTTTAGATTATTTGAGCTGTGACATAAGAAAACACTGTTCTTAACTGGTTTCTTATGTTAAATGCTGTAACACTGTATCATCATCTGCAAACAACACACTAAAGTTAACCACTATGTCCAGTCTGCAGTGTTTTATACACACAGGCAGAAAGTAACTACTGTCTGTACATTTACTTATATGCTATGTACATATACTTTACTGCAGTGTTTCCACTTTATGCAAATTAATACATCAGTATAATTCTCAGGGGGCTTTAATGTTAAATATAATTATTGAGTTATTTTAGTCACTAATAATATTTCTGTCGTTTTATTTTCAGTAAATAAAAATACAGGACTTCTGCTTGTAATTAAATACTTTTAAATTGTTTTACTTTATCCTAAATAAGGATCTGAATGCAACATTGGAATCATTTTTATGTGCTTCTGAGTGTTTTTGCATAAGAGATGCAGCTTTAAATCAACTTGTGAAAGTCTGTATGCTGCACAAATCATGGATCATCAGTCTATGTGCACTAAAAATTATGATTAACAAAGTCTTAAAAGAGACTGTTGACTTGTTGAACCACTGTAAATGTTACAGTGTGATCTAAACTAAACAGCTTCTTGGTATTTCAAGGGAGTTCATTCCTAATGTTGCTCTGTGAGGCCTGAGCTTCTACATTTACACCTCCTTCTCTGGGAACTGAGCTGTCGATGGAAAAGCCAGCAGACTTATTTAAGGTCATGTAAACAAACAGGTGGGAAAACAACACAATACAGGGTACACGGGCGCCAGAAATAGTCACACATGAACGTCTGCACGGTGGAGTGGAACTCAGTCCTCCTGCTGCAGGATCGCTTGTAAACAGTCTGCTGAGTTCATACGGTCTATTTTCGTCTATCTGCTCTTTTAGGACATTGCCTCTGGTGAAACTCTGCTGGTATCAACACAGACAGAGCAAGGAAAACAGCTCGTCACTCACCTTGACTTGTTTTCGTTTAAACCGATAGACTCAGCAGTTCCCAAATTTCAGCATCTGGATTGAGGTGGGATGTGCTACAAAGTACTTAGTCATCAGAGAGTTTTCTACATTTTTGTCCCGAGGGCAAGTTGTCAACAGCAGTTAAAATCTCTAGTAAACATCAGCTTTGCCTCTATGTTCTTACAGAGCAGTGTG